CTTGTTAAGAAAGTCATCTCCATCTCTCCGATATTTTGCAAGAAAGTCCCTTGAAGCCTTAACACGCCGGTCTTTCTGCTCCTGTGTCAAGTCATGCAGCACCCATTTAGCAGACACCTTCTTTAACAGACAGTTCTTTGTCAGTATCCGTTGCACAGTCCCATAGCTCAGATCGTGTTTTTCAGCCAATTCTCTGATAGAAATTTGCCTATTGTCCATAACATCAGCTTCAATTGCTTTGATGGTTTGATCATCGAATGACGACACTGGCCTGCCTCCTCGCTGCTTGTCTACCACTTCATCATATCCACTGGAATACTTGTTAAACCACCTGTAAATGTTTCTCTCAGCAATGGCAGCTTTACCATATGCCTTCTTTATCTGTCTTATAGTCTCTTTTACACCTTTCCCCAACTTTACACAGAACTTAATGTTTGTTCTTTGCTCTATTTTACTCTGACTTGGCGCCATCTTGAATTGGGTGGGTTAGTGTCCTTGGTCATGTTAGTATTTGTCATGGATGATGGAAGCAATTCAAAGAAATTGAAAGCTTTTTATGAATGCCTATTGTGACATCACAACTATTACATATTTGTTACCATGGCAACAAATATAAAAATCATAGAAAACAAACAATGAACATTTTCAAATGTTACTGACTTTTTAAATTAGAGAAATTCACAAAAACGTTATGGTTTCTCTTCAATTTGCCCCGGGTTACGCGATATCGGGTTACTATAGCAACCATAATTTCAACCAATGAAATGATTGAATTCCAATCTTTGAGATGGTAACTCAGAAATGTTGTGGGTACATGTATACCAAATTTCATGAAGATCTGATGAATACTTTTGAAATTACAATGTCTTTGACGTTACTTCTGGATCACCCTGTACATCATATGACATTAGAAAAATTATTGACTAAATACTTAAGTTTCACTAAAATATCGTTATCCATATAAAAGAATATGCAATTGCATAGATGAATTAGAAAAACACACGGAAAGTATCACAACAGGCTTCAGACATTTACAAGTTGGATTTTTGGTTGGGCTGTTTCTGAGGTTTTAAACAGGAGAATATGTTAGACCAATGCATTAACTCCAGGACAAGCACTCATAGAGATGATAAAAAGATTTGAACTTGAGACAGGAAAGGTGCAAACATCCCACCAACATGTTTTTTCAATGCTTGATGCATCATTTTACAGGGTGTCCCGAAAGTTTGCCCCCCCCCCTAGGCAGACATATACCAGTGTCATCATTGTATGAGTCATATATCATTTTAAAGCTCATCCAAAGTTACATTGAATTGCCAAGAATCATGATTCAACTCTCAAATGGGAAAAAGTGATAGTCATTTTAAAATTTAGTGTTTGGCCAAAATAAAGTTCAATTTCACACCCCATTACAAGTCAATGAGTCCTCCCTTGGTCATGTTATCAGCAGCAATTCTTTTCAGATAGGACCATAAAAGCTCTACGGGGTGTGGAATTTTGTAATCCTCTTAAAACCTTATAAGGCACTTTTGAAGAGTTTCCTTGGAGTATCAACCCTCACCGTCTCTTTTTCCAACTCAATATCCATCCAACCCAAAAAGAATTGCTGCTGTTAAGATGGCCCTGGAGGACACATTGACTAGTTATTAGGTGTTAAATTGAATTGAATTTTGGGCAAACACTAAAAATTGAAATGCCTGTAATTTTTTCACATTTGAGATGATACTTGCCGAATCAATGTAACTTTGGATAAATGATATGATACGTACTATGAAGACAATGGAATATGTCTGCCTAGAGGGGATACTTTCGGGACACCCTGTATGTTGTGTTTTGAGACAGAGTTAACTCTTAAAAGGAAAAATGCATTCCTTTGAGATAAAGTGGAAAACAATATTTCCCATGGTATTTTCCCATATCCCATAGGGAAAACTCATGCAATCAATTGTGTTCAGCTTAATTTTGGTCACCCACAATTGACATCTTTAAAACCCCTGATTGAATGCATTTTTTCTTTTAAGAGGATAACTGTGTCCCAAAACGCAACATATTGATGAAACAAACATTAAAAAAACAGATGCGGAAAGGACTGAAAAGCAGACAAATCTCAGGCGAAATATGTTGATGGTGTGTTTGCAACTTCCTGTCTCAAACTCCACTCTTGGTTTTGAGGGATAAGAATAAAAGCATTGGATATGGGTTGGAAGGAGGGTGACCTGACTTTTTACTGATAATGGTGCTTAGGTCTAAGTTGTGTCCTGATTTTTGACTGCTAAATAGGACTACTTCAAATGACCAAATGGTATGAATGTGGGTCGTGTCACCCATGAAAATCTTCACAGTACCAATCAAAATATTTGTTTCACCGGGAGTCACACTTATAAATGTTAATTTTTGGTCTTCTATTAATAGAAGCTATTGATTTGATGTTTACCTTGTATAATTACACTGGGATTCATTGAAATTATCATTTAAATTTTGTTTTGTTTATTCAGGCAATGGGATTACATGCTAGAATAGTCTAAAGAGGTAAAACACATTGGATGCAATAATGCTGGTATGGCTTTTCTCTCCTGTTACTATGTGCTGTGTCACCTGTGAATATCTTCACATCACTAATCAAAAGTCTCCAAATATTTGTTAAACGAGCAATCACACCTTTGAATGATAATTTTATGAATGATAATTTTACGACTGTTATTGAGGTCATTTTTTGTCTCATATTTCTAATCAAGTTCTCCATTCTGTATAACCCTATAAAGTGTCAAAGAGAAAGGACCAATCGTTCCGGAACCCAGCAGAAAAAAGAAGAAATCTAAGTATAGACCAGTCATAAGGAAAACAAACCCCAACTATCCAATACCATAATCCAATGTGAATGGGAAACAATGTCTAATGCCCCTCATCCCTACCATAAAAAATTTACAGTTCAGACTATTTAAAAGAGCATATTCTTTTTCATTGCCTATTATCACTGACTCTTTTTGAAGCACTTAGTATTCTTTTGGCAGGAATTCCATCTCAATCAGCTTTAACACTTATTGTTACTGTTATGATATTTGATTTCAAATGTTCAAGGATAAACAACTAGATTGTTTAAATATCAGCAGAAGATGTTATTTGCTCATCTGAACCCCGTCACCTGTACTTATCTCATAAAGAGCAAGTTAACCCTTAATTGGGCTTTTGTTTTTACACCCTCTCAAGGTTTTTGGGGTATTTCGCAATAACTTTGCAACCAGAGAAGCTTTTTTCATTCTGACTTCAGTTCTACATAGTTTAATCAATTACCTTTTAGAATATGTATGCATTATTTATCATGAATGCAAGAAAATATGTGAAAACCTTATTATAAGTGTTCAGGTGTTTTAGCATTGTATCATTTCGTAGCATTTAGTATATAACCCTGTATGAATTGAATATCTTTTGGTGATAGTGATGTTCTGTGGTCTCAGGTAGCATAAAAGTCATCATGTGATTTACATCTGGTTGGTTTTATCTGAAAGGAATTGGATTAATTGAGGATTAGATGGAATTTCCTGTTGATAGAATGATTATTTCTGATATAATTATTGCAAAGAATGAACTCTGGTGACCCAAAAAACCATTTAAGGGTTAATGGTGTGTAATAATAAAATCTACATATTATAATACCATGTGTAGTTTGTAAGCGCTCTTCAAACAATTAACTATATCGCCATGTAAAATGTCACTACCACTTGTGATGACATATTGTTAAAGTCTTTAATATTTTTGTGGGTGGTGTTCAGTGGTTGGTGTTTGGCAGTTGTTAGTCTGGGGTCCCAGTAGGGCTCTAATCAATTATTCAAAAAAACTTAACAACGTTTGTTTAGAATTATATCTAATACTTTCAATGTCACAAAGTGTTAATAGATGTGCTTTGTTATCAAATGTGCTTAATGGATATACATTACTTGTTTGTAGCTACCACAATAATTATGAATTTTTACTGGGCCTCTAGGAAGACCAGTTTTGTACTGATAGAGCTACTCAGAATAAATATTAGCATTTTCTTGTATATGGATAAAGATATTTCATTGTAAGTTAAAGATCTGTTACATCTTTTTCCAGCAACATAAAATGTAAAAATCAAAATATTTGCTCAATCTACAATTGTGCTATTGAATAGTGTCTAACAAGATTTCGGACTTTGACACTGATATAATAAAATCTGCTGAATCAGCACTTTTGAGCCTGGACTGTCACCTGCAGGCAACAAAATACAATGCAACATAGGAATTTCATCAATACTGATACAACTAATGCACAAAATATAACTAGTATGACAGTATGCCTTAATTTGATATTGATGTCTACTTACCCCCCCCTCCATAACCACAGGCCAGATATTTTGTTATTTTTTTTCTTATCTAGTAAATCCTGTATGAACTCAAAAATGTTTACATGTATTGAAGCATAAATCAAATTTGTCCTTGATTTTATTTCAGTTCTAGAACCATCTTGGGAGAGAAGATATACAATAAAATGTAATTAACATAGAACTTAAAAAATGTCTATACTTGGACATCAAAGGGTTAAAACCATACTTTTCTTTAGGCAGACATCATTAAAATAACTTATAAGCCTAAAATATAACATATTTAGGTTGTGGCAACATAAGATTCCCCAGAATTAAGGAGGATTATTTTATTATAATTTTTTGAAATTTTACCCCTCTGAAAATTATGGGTAGGGGGTACAAAATCAATTTTCTCCCCCAAAACAGCTCTAGAACTTTGTACATGCGGATAAAAATGTTTTAAATGGTTCACAGATCCACTAAAATAAAATTCACGATTTGTTCCATCCAAAATCGCAAGGGCCATTTTTTGTAATGAATTCCGTGTACTATATGAAATAACACTTCTTTTGGTTGAACCTTTTAGATTTCCGTGTACTTTTGTGTAATTTACATGTATACACTTAGGGGTGTTCTAGCCCCCAGGTATCCACAACTTGATGCACATTTCATTACACAGGAGAATGCAGAAAACTGTAAGGAGGTTGTACGTGTTTGTAAGGAGGAGAAAGTGCAACTGGTGATATGTACGGTACTGAGGTATCTGCCTGAAAGTAGGAGGATAACAGAGTTGGTTAACAATGGTGTAGTAGGCGACATACTCAATATACAGATGATACATCATGTGAGAAATTTATATTGTATGTGCCATTGTATCTACTTTATTCAGATTGACACGTTTCAGACTCCGAATGATGCAAAATAGATGAGATATACTGAAATTATGGTTTAACATCAAATTGCACAACATCAAAACGTATATAGATGATATCCTACTTTAATCATTGATTGTTCTGATAACACTGACTCTGACTAATACTATTCAATATTTGTATGTGGTGGTCGACAATGGTTGCATTTATCAAATGAGGCAAATGATGACGAATATGGTTTTAATCAATTGTCAAAATGCCTTTTGACAGTCGTTGAACTGAAAAGAAGCCAAGTAATTCTCAAAAAGGCACACCGATTGAGGCCCTACAAAATTGTGAGGGGGAGCCCCCCATCCCCCTGGATCTACCAGTGGGCTAATCTATATAGTGCTTTCGCGACTACAGAGACACTCAAATATTAAACGGTTTTACTGTCGCGCTATACCAGTATACCACCATCTTGGAATATTTCTTATGTTAAACTCAAGTACTTTTCAGCAAGGCAATGTCATGTACAGTCATTGCTATATCAGAGGGAATTGGTCACACGTTAAGACAGGGACATCATTTCTGATTGGCTGTTGCCATGACATTGATCTCATCACTCAATGGATGGGTGATCGTAGATGTATCAGTGTGACATCTTTCGGGAGCAACATACACCTGAATAAGCAAAATAAGGTCTGTATTTATTCCTAAACTGCTCTTTGTAGCATTTCTGTATTTCAAAACTCAAATATTTAATTTGTTGACATATGCACATTCAGAACGGTTAAGCAAAGCACAATTTGATTGAATTATATTTCGCCATGGCGTTGTCATTTTAGCCACCAGAAGCTGGCAAAATGTGCGTTGATTGTCCTGTGGAAGAGAAGTGTCAATTTTCAGCCAAAAAAATCTACCTCGATCCTTTCAAAAAAGGGGACATGGGCTTCCCTGTGAATCTGATTACCCCATTGGTCCCAGACATAGAAGGTGTTACAAAGGCTATCAATACTACAAAGTTTGGAGAATGTGTATATGATCTTGGCACAGAGCAGTTGGACAACCAGGTACATTTAAAGTGTGAACACAGTTTTTTGGCAGAGGAGGTTTCCTTTTGTTGTTATGATATATCTGAAAGGTAACCGGAGAACTCATCCCCTGGACAATTCATCCTATAAACATCTCATCCCCTGGACAACTTATCTCATAGACAACTCATCCCCTGGACGACTCATCCTTTAGCGTGTTTGAGTATATAGTAATTTAATATTATATTATCAATTCATCTTTGATATTCAAATAATTTTAAAATGTTTTGGTTGTGAATATGGTCAGTTTTAAGTTACAAAAAAAACATATATTACATGAACATTGGTATTCCACTCGATTACCCTGTTACCGGAACGGATTGTTTCGGTAATAAAATGTTGGAGCCTCGAAGGTAAGATTTCTTTTTTATCTTATTTCACGAGTTGTAGGCAGAATTCCCGCGACATTCTACACCTCACTTTTGTTACTTTACATAAAAAACTTCAAAAACAGTTAAGATCTGCTTCTAACCCGTTCCTTTTATGTGACAATAGTGAGATAATGTACAGGGGATGAGTTGTCCAGGGGATTATGAGATGTCCAGGGATGAGTTGTCTAGGTGATGAGTTGTCCGTAAGCCGTCTAAATAAACCTGTCAATGAAAGTATAAAACTAATAGCTGCAACCCTTCATTAATATGACAGCCCCTTTCTTTCTATTGTGCATCATGTTTATGTTTGTTCATGATTGACCCCCTCAAGTACGAGAGGCAGAAATTGTGGCAATGCCGATTTTTTAAAATCATTAAACTTACACTAGCATTAAACATGCTGTAAAGTAGGATAGTCAAACTTTTGGAGGGGATTGTATTTTGTAAATTATGAAACTTCAAGGTCGTCAACCTGATGTACGAGGGAGGTTCTACAGTTAGTATGAGCCATGTTGGTATAACAAGTAGACAGGCTGGCAGAACAATCAAGATATTTGGCACCAAGGTATGAACTCAGCTCGTCTTTGAATGCATATCAAGATGTTTTGCTTGAATTCCAGCTTTCATTTGTGATGACGGGAACTGACGTCGCGTCATCGGATGGTAATTAGTATTTACGGCGACAAAAGTGGTACTGGGTACCGTTTAAAATATTACAATACGGATATAAATTTTTATATACTTGTTTTTTCTTATTTTGCCTTGTGCATTGGTTCCGAAATGCTAATATGGTGAATATGAATTGTATTGACCTTAATTAGTTTTAACAAATGTTTTTGAAATTGAAATGAAATTGTTTGGAATACTTTTCATCATTTGACAACAAAACATATTTCACAGGGTGAGATTGAAAGCAACTTAGATGGAAGTGTCACACATTATGATCTAGAGACAAACACGAAAAGTAAGTATTTAGTTGGGGGGGGGAGGGGTCCACAAGGTGTTCTACTAAGCTTACAAGAATTTGTAACGCCAGTACTTTACATTTTTGGAAAACGATATGGATAACCTGAATTGATGATTTATAAACGCTATGGGAATTATTGATTTGGTCCCAAAAACGTCAGGAGAAGTTTTCATTTACATTATCATTTGTTATTTGTATTTATCCAGGTGTTTGGAATCCGGAGCCACTAAAAGTAAAGTCTCAACTGACACAGTTTGGTGGAGCAGACTTTCATTTGATGGACACATTCGTAGATTCAGTAGCGGTACGTACATAGGCTTACGAACAACTCATCCGCTATATAGACAACTCATCCCTGGACAACTACTCCCCTAGACAACTCATCCCCTGGATGAACTCATCCCCTAGACAATTCATCCTGGACAACTCATCCTTTCATCACATGAAGCTAAATTGTAAAGTGTTTCAGGAAAAGAAATATTAGTAAATACACTTCGGATCATTCAAAATACTCATTACTCTATTGACACAAAATTATGAAAGCATTTATTTGATATCAGTCAAACGGTGCCAGTAAAATTCTAATCTCTTGTCATTATATTACTAAAGCTTTCTGCGTAACTTGGAAACATGAACTTTAAGTAACTTCATCTTTGAATGATGTGAAAAGATAGTCTTTGGATTAAAGAATATTTGAGCTAAGAACAACAAACATATTAGACATCAAAGGAGCTTTTTCAATCAATGTTAATATAATATTGAAATTGTATATTATAAGTAAAATTAAAAGTAATTATTTACAATTATCAGGTTGATTATCACCTTTACAATATCATATATTTTGTTTAACATTTTTGCAGATTTCTCGACCAGAAAGTCTTTGTTCATGCAATATAAGTTTTTGAAACGCAAAAACTAATCATATTCATATTCATAGCGAAACATCCTCAAAGGATGAGTCGCCCAGGGGATGAATTGTCCAGGGGATGAGTTGTCCATGGGATGAATTGTCCAGGAGATGAGTTGTCCATGGGATGAGTTGTCTAGGGGATGAATTGTCCAGGAGATGAGTTGTCTTGGGGATGAGTTGTCCAGGGATGAATTGTCTATAGGGGAAGAGATGTCCGGTTACCTTGCTTGAAACGGCACCCTTGATTCTACAGGATAGTAATAATATATTGTTACCTTTCGATGATCATACGTGATTGAATGAGACTGATCGCACGAACACATTTTAATTTTTCAGAGGCGTGACAGTAGTCGTATCCCTGCAACCATAGAGTCATCTCTGTACAGTCATCTGCTCACGTTTGAGATTGACAGGGCTCAGAGGGAGAATACTATCTTGGCAATATCACCTGAACTTGGTGTGTTGTAAAACCTGAACAATTTCACGAAACGTTGATGACAATAGAGAGCTTTCGATAAAAGATTTTTTGAAAACGTACTTCAAAGGATTTTGTCACACTGAAACCAATTTAATTTAATTTAATCGAATTCAATTTTGAAATTGATTTTCATAAATTGTTCCCAGTTGACATAGTTGTTCAATTTTCGTATTGCCCTTATGTATAGTTATACAAATTAAAATATGTCCAGTAAAAGAAAAAATATTACCTGTCCAATACAAGAAAAGGTATTTCACGTTTTGTGATTTTATAACATGAAGCGGGTCTTCACTCTGCGTTCGATGGGAGCCGAGTGATGTCTGATTATAATTCTTTTCATTCATCCCAAATATCCAAAATCCAATTCATTCTCCAAATTTATTGGAGGTGATATTATTAGAATAAATACGGAAAGGTATTTTTTGCTTTAATATTTGGATTTAATTTTGGATTAATAAGTGACTTGATATTGGTTATTTTGACATATTGTCTTTAATTGTAAAATACACACATAATATGAGACCAATTTCTTACATATTCATGGCACTAGCAGAAGATACCTTAAAGTATCTCGGGTAAAGTTTTCAAAGAATTTGATATATCTATGGCTTAGAAATTACTTGTCAAATTGCTCATCATTAATAGTAATAATTGTAATTAGGTCACCATATAAATCAATAGAGAGTAGGACCAAAATTTGATAGGACCACCTACCCTTTTACACCTGTATTGGATATTACGACATGCTCTCTTTAATTTCTTAGCACTCGCATAACATTTAATTGATCTTTTTCATATTTTTGTACACATTTTCAGTGAATTTGAATTGGTTCATCAGTTGCCGAGATAATACTTGTTATATTATTACAATAATGTTCTGACTTGCTTCTCAATGTTCAAATGTTTCAAGTTTCAGCAGATTCTATCACGATAACTATATGAAAAAAAGAATATATGCTTGGGATTATGCCCAACTTCTTTATCTTTTAATCCCCCATACAGAAGATGACATGACTTGTTTGGGTTGCAACGAAAACACTTTTGATATTGTGAAACATACCTTACTCTTTTGTCCAAAACTATTTAAAACCAGAGATTGTTGGTTTGAAGACATGGTAGAAATTTTAAATGTGGCAGATTCTGTTATGTTATTCAACTCAGAAACAGATATTTAATAGAAACCCTTTTAGGGGTGGGGGGATCAGATCTCCTTTATAATATTGATCAAATTCAATGGGAAAAATTCTCACTCTTTGTGCAAAGCATATTAAGCATATGAAAATTACATTTTTAAATTAGAACATGTCCATAAATTGATATAATTTGTAGTAGTGAGGTTTTTATATTTACTCATGCAAATCCATCATAAAATATAATGTAGTTCTGTTATTTTCATTATACATTCATTGTATATTATATTGTTTTGTATTTATATGTCATGTATAATGTTTAACTCTCCATAGTTGGGAGGAAATAAAGATTAAACAAACAAACAAACATATTCCATTATAGATAAACCGTCATTTTTTCAAGTCTAAGTTTATTATAAATCCATAAAATAATCAAATGATTGGCCAAAACCGTTGTCCAATAGCATCCAGGATTCGATCTGCTAAAAGGTGGCATAAACGATGGATTTCCTGTATATAGTTTTTGTGTCAATAATATGTTGAAGATCGAAAGATGTCTGCTCCAGATTATCACTGAATATGTCTGACACTCGGGGTCCGGAATCCATGGTTGTCAACTTCCAATTATCACTGAATGTGTTTGAGATCCATTGTTATCGGCTTCAATTTAGCACTATATGTCCATGAGATCCATTGTTATCGACTTCAATTTAGCACTATATGTCCATGAGATCCATAGTATTCAGCTCCAAATTATCACTATATATTTCTAAGAGATCCTTAGTTGTTAGAAAGCTTCTGTATGTGTCTATGAGATCCATAGTTGTCGGCTCCAATTTAGCACTACACATCTCAGAGATCCGTAATTCAGCTGCTGTATGTGTCTATATAATCACTGGTGATCCACTCGATTACGCTGGTTACCAAAACGGTTCGTTTTGGTAACAAAATGTCGGAACATCCGGAAGGTATGATTTTCTCGTTTCCTTATTTTACACGTTGTAGGCAGAATTCCCATGACATTTTTTAACACTATAAGTTATTGAATGATTTGAAGTGCAATACAGGATATATTCTGCTCGAGAAATTCCGTATTGGAACGAGACGAAGTCGAGTGCCAATACAGAATATCGAGACAGATTATATCCTGTATTGCACTTCAAATCATTCAATAACGTTTTTATCGTGTGATCCTCTGTATTGCTACTGAGATTGTCCCCTCCGTACCAATATTTTCTGTATTGCGACGGAGATGATCAACGGGGACAATCTCAGTAGCAATACAGATTGGTACAGCACAAGAACTGACCAATCAGATGGCTTCATTTTACAGATCATACGATAAAAACGTGTATCAGTATCATATGTTTAAGAAATTGTACATATTTGCGACCAAATAGTTCAGAAGACAACAGAATCGTCGATTTACTTCCTCACTTAAGTTACATAAACGGTTTGGGTTAAAAGTGCAGATCTTAACTGATTTTCTAAAAACCGTTTATGTAACTTAAGTGATGAAGTAAATCGACGATTCTGTTGTCCTCTGAGCTATTTTTTCGCAAACATGAACATTTTCTAAAACATATGATACTGCTGCACGTTGTGAGAAAAAACGTCATGGGGATTCTGCCTACAACGCGTGAAATAAGGAAAAAAGAAAAATAGTGCCTTCGACGTTCCGACATTTTGTTACCAAAACGGTTCGTTTTGGTAACCAGCGTAATCGAGTGGATCACCAGTAATAATGAGATCCATATTTGTCAACTTCCAATGATCACTGAATAAGAGAGATGTGTAGTTGAATAAAGATGAATAAATAGATGTCACCGATTGTTTTATTTGTTTTGTTAAAAACCTGCGATATAGTCACTCAATTGATTTATCAAAAAGCGTTGATTCATGGCTTTATATGAAAGCCCATGGTTGATTGAATCTGCCTAAAACTCGATTGGCATTTTAATTATATATATTGTGATTAATCGTGAAAATTCTGGCTGAATTCTGGTTAAATGAATAAATCAAGGTTTTAAAGAATTTCAATCTAGCATCAATGGATATTTGGCTCACACTTATTTAAAATCAATCTGCTAGAATTTCATTCTGTTCAATCGTGCCTTCTTTTTTACAATGAGGTGCATAACGAACAACGAATTTAAATATAAGTGTATAACTTAAATCACTAGTATTGTGGAAAACGTTTCACTGAATTCACATATGGTATTCAAAAGAAGGAAGGGTAAGACAATAGAGGTGTAATATATAAATCTCTTAAAATCTCACGAAAAATCATTATCGGAATCATCTTCCAAAGATCACTGTATATATTTATGACAACCATTTAGTGGGCTGTATAGCAAGGTTGGTCGGGGTCGGGAGCTGGGGATAATTTTATTGCTTAAATATAACCATATAATTATCCTACATTAGAATCCACTCAGTCTAACATCAATTTCTGGTGCGAAAGTTGTCATTTTTGAGTTTTACCCCACTTGACGACAAATTCTTGGGGGTACTATGACAAATGCTTATAACTAAAGAAGTATTTATTTGATCATCTTCATTTTTGGCATGGGTAATTAATAGGTATGTAAAAGTAAAATTTGAAAAATTCATACAAATCTGATGATTGATCCATTCTTAAGATAATAATTCAGGTATTTTCAAGGGTCAATTTCAACATTTTCTGAATGTCGACATGAACTAAAAATAACATTATGACCCAATGACATATTTATTGAATGTTTTTAGGCTTTAGAAAATAATTTGACTATATAAGCTAAAATAATAACATAAGAATTGTACCATATTGATAATTCTTCATCGCCATCCAGGCACAAATAAACACCCCCCCCCCCCCCATTTTCGAATATAAAGGTCTTTACCTGAAACTTCCTCAAATAGCTATATTTCAGAAACTATTACAGCCTACATTCCAAAATTTCTAATGGTGATTATACACATTATACTCTGCATAATAGACATATAATTGAGATTTATCCATTCTATAGCTAATAAATAAGGTATTTTCAAGGTTCAATTTCAGCATTTTTGGAATGTGGCCATGAGGTAAAAATTACATGACCCAATGACATATTTATTAAATGTTTTTAGGCTTTAGAAAATAATTCGACTATATCAGCTAAGATAATAACATAAAAATTGTACAATATTGAAAATTCTTCATCGCCATCCAGGGATAAATGCCCCACACCATTTGCGAAAATAAAGGTTTTTACCTGAAACTTTCTCAAATAGCTATATTTCAGAAACTATTACAGCCTCCATTCCAAAATTTCTCATGTTGATTATACACAACATTCTCTGCATATTATACATATAATTGAAGTCTTAACACTTTTGAGGGTGTAGCTAATAATAATAGTATATTTATTACACATCTTAGAAATCAAAATATATGTTTTAGAAGGTTGTCACAACACTACAAGAGACATATTTTGGATTGCCATCATTTTTGAGAATATTACAAAAACAAATTTATATTATGCAATAATCACATATTTTCATTTGACATTATTGAAATATATTATCCAGCTAGTTTTAATGATTTCAGTATCCTGCAATATTTCAACTTATGATGGAAATTTTGGATGCATGCTGTATTTGTAACTTTTCAGCATATTTGGCGTGTCCTGAATTCAAATCTGCCGGATGCAATTTGTGTACTTTGCGGCATTTATCTGTACAGACATATCAATATATGCATCCCAGGGAAAGGGTCCATTTTTCTCAATTTTTTTCAATTCAATGAATTTGTATTTGCTAATTTTAAAGGAAATTTATAGATCTAATCAATTTAATTGTGATTTCACATGATATCTTACATATTTTCCCATTTGTTCCAGGAATTTCAGGTTGAAACAGTTAAAATAATTAAAAATATTTGATTTTTTCCCTTGTTTTCATAATATATTGGCCAGTTTTTGGCTTCCAGTATACAACTGCGCATTGTTTAAATAAAGCAATAGGTGCACTTGTAATGATTGGATTATTACTAAAACTTCCAAATCTTTAATGGAATATGAACAGAAGATAAGTACCATAGGTAACATATATGGTCTATACAAAATGACATTACTCTTGCGGTGTATGACTGACAGATTCACCTGCGGTATATGGCATACTCACTTACCAATGAGAATGTGATACGGAAGTACGCAATTG